AAATACAGGCCCGCACTGAAATACTTGTCGGGAGGATACTTTATAAAACAAGGTAAACATTTTTTTTTATTTTTTTTTATTTTTACACACATATTTTGGTTTATCTTCCTTCTACAATCATTATCTGAAAATTAATGACTCAACTTCAAAGTCACCCTGTATATATATATTACACTCTCGACGACTTACTCCAGACGATGATGGCATAGACCATCGAAAGCTCGAGTTCAAGTTGTAAGAGTTTACTTATGCAAAACTTTGCCTTCCATCCAAGGAAATTCAAGGATATATATATATATATATATATATATATATATATATATATATAGACATTTAAGGTGGTTCGTCACGTTTTATAAACTCATTAGATACTGCAATAGTTTCCGGTCATATTTTCGAAAACAACAACAACATTTTGTCTCTAACCTTACTATTTTTTTGTTTATTTGGATAAGTCAATTTATCAATGATCAATTCAGCAATATTTAGGTCTCTAAGGAACAGTTTTTTGAAAAATTTTTGGTGTGAAAGTTGGTTCGGTTAGTTGCAGCACTGCTATTTTGGCTATACCTGACGATATAAAAACTTGTGGTTATGGGTGTCCTTTTACACGGAGAAAAGAAAAATCGCTATTTTCCATAATAGGCGGATAAATCTGAAAAAACCGTCAAAAACAAAACCAGATACACGTCCCACTGATCCGGTCCATTTTATGAGAGACGACCGGTGAGTGTTATCGCCAAACTGTTATAAAATAAAACCTCCAACAAATCCTCTAGGAATGCGATTGGATCAATAAAGAAATTTGAACGTGGTTACACCTACAGGTGTTTTCAAACAGCCGATGCTTAGCGATATGAAAACGTCGGCCGCCGCAAAAAATCTCAGACATATTCAACCAACCAAATCAAGACGGTCGGCAGTCAATATTAAAAGCACATTATGAACGCAAGCCACCTGAATAATGTAATATGTAGTTGTACGTACGATAATTCTTTTGCGTTGGTCGAAGAGACAATGCCATCGAGGACTTCGACTTGTGTGGCTCACCGTCCGACCATCGAGCTTTTTCCTATGCTATTCAACAATTATACATGTAAATTGGCACGGTACTCGTTTTGTTTGCCATACGCTTACTGAATATCGATTATATACCAATAATAATCGGGTATTTTGCTTGGTGCGTTGTTTGGATAGCTCTACGTTCTATGCGATGGTCTAAACTGAACACAAAAATGCCTTAGATCTCAAATAATACGATAATCAGAAGCGTGGAGTGTCTGACAGCGCTAGAACGCGGAGACGTAATGAAGAGAAGCTCACAACTTCACATATTACTACATTATAGGGCCAGTAGGATCACTCGGGCTGATATCAAACGAATGGATTTTACGCGTTCGTAGAGCAGCACAGGTTCTAGCACATAGAGCACCAATATAACCCGACCTGTCGACGCGCTCGCTAGAAGGAGCGAGAGACTCAGCGGTACAGGGTCAGAATGTGCATTGTTCATTTTTCAAGTGCTTGGTCATATTATCAATAAAAATGGTTCTGAATGTGGATGACTGTTTTGCGTTCATACAAGGGCCTCAAACATAACATCAGCAAAGAAACTACTAAGGCCTCTATTACTACAGTTTTGAGTTTACTGCTCGGACTACAATTTTTGCACGAAAGTACTGCTATGTCAATCATAGAACACCTTAAATGCTTTTACGAATAAGGGGTGCAGATGAGTCTCAGGAACAAATAAAAAAGGAAAAGCTGAGAATGCTAACAAACTTAATATTTGGAATGTTATCGGAGTTGCTGATAATTTTTTGACCGTACACATGTTCTTGGGAATCAACACCAAAAAAGGGGGAAGTGTGTTATCCGATGTTTTTCTAATTTCTGGTTATTTCGGGCCATAGTAATATATGACATGCCTTCTATGGTTGCATAGAACGCAAATAGTGCTTAGATTTCTGTGTAGCAAAGTGTCTCTGCGCAGTATCAGATCAATTTGATTGTAAAAAAAGTTTGCAAAATTCCATTATCTTAACAGTGCTGTATGGAAATAGTGTCCAAATAACTACAGATAATAATGAGTAGAGAGTACTGAGTCAACTTAATTGATTCTATTTTCTCCTACAAAGTTCTCACATAATTCCCGAAATTTCGTCGTTTCGCAAAATTGTGTGGTTATAAAAATAGATTGACGACGTTATAAAAAACAGTAATTTTCCGTGGATATAGTGACACATGCAACTCTATGTATGCCCAAATAAGCTATCAGACTATTAAAATATAGCACAGAGAGTTTTTGTGAAAGTCTTTATATTTAATTTAACATCAACACAATCCAGGCCAAATGACTATAGGATCACATAGTGAATATGCATTATATTCCCAACAGTAGAGAGTCGATCCTTTTACTAAATTATTCCCTTATTTCTAACAAGCAATTTCTGACTATCCGAGTCTATATACAGTCATCCATACAAATTGATATGATGTTGCCTTGTTATGAGCTTAAACATACAAAGTCGGTTAATTGGGGGCATTTTTATTTCCGTATTTCCGGAGATAGAGGAAAAACTGAATTTTTATAAAGTCGTTTTTATGTAATTTCCTGACATTATTTGGAATGGGAATGCAAAACATATTGGACAATAACATTGCCACTTTCTCTCCTCCTCTACAAGATGGTACTCTTAGAATTTCAATTTGACGTTTCGTCTGTTGTCCTCAATAATCAACTTTATTTTTTATTACGGACGCCATTAATTCTCATTTCTGGCATGTATAATATGCCATACAATGAGATTGTCTAGCCTAAGTAATTTCAAACAACTAATATTTTCTTAGTAGGCCTTGAAAATCCCAGTTTATGCACAAATGCTCCAGTTTTTGAGAAGCTTCATTAAAGGTCATTCAGATAATTTTTCGATCTATCAACTATATTAAGCGATATTTTAGAACGATGGAGGCGCTCTACATGACACCTCAGCCGAAGATTAACAGTATGATGTATGCATTGGTTCAAATATGGCGTATATGAAATGTGTTTGTGAAGCTGCAACATCGTCGAGGCTTTTATTTAATCTAAAATGTTTTTATCAGTTATATCAAACATCACTGTCTTCATTGTTTTCGATACTATACGTACATTCAAATAGTATGAAAAAGTTTTTTTTATGCATTTTAAGTTTTATAATATTAATACATAAAAAATATAGCATCAATAAAGTCTGAAATCACGACTGATTACATGTGTATAGTTCATAAAAATTGAAGAAATGCTTGACTGATATTATGAAACAAATGACTGAATCTGATAATTTCAAGGGCTACTTATGAAATTCTGTTTTTTTGTAATAACTAAGTGTATATGTATAACATACATATACAAATTTGGAATCAGAATAAAAAACTGTATTTACTTCACGTCAGATTGAAATTATAATCAGGCCTAATTGTAGAGGAGAAAAGTGGCAATGTTAATGTACCTCTAATTTTGAAATACCATCTCAAATAAATTTAGGATAAAATAAAAACGATTTTGGGAAGATTCGGTTTTTTCATTCGGAAACATTCGGATATGCGAAACTTTTTAAATGCCGTTTTCTTAGTCACCTAAATGCGCAAACTGATCTTCATTTAAGCAACTTCGATCGGTTAATTGTAATAAAACTGTCTTATCGGCTCCTTGTAAATTACTTATATTCAGTACAAATTTTGTTTGTAAACTAAACTTTCATGAACATATAGACCACGCATGTAAAAATTTAGGCAAAACATATTTTGCCATTTTGTACAACAGAGAGATGTACTAAATGAAAAAGCTTTTATGAATGTATATTATGCTCGTGTTTATGCCTATATGTCAACATTATGATGGAAATCTTCCGAAATGGGTAGAGTGTTTGCTGCCCAAAAAAGAATCGCCAGATTAATTTTTTGAATGAAGCCACTCGACTCCTGCAGATAAATCACAAGAAATTATTTTTTTAATTTGTACATATTTATATTTTCAAATGTGTAACTTACGTTATGATATAATAGCCTGTTTCCAAATACTAATGCTCATCATAATTTAAAAAATCTATACACATACCACATCGAATTTCAAAAAGTCACCTACTATAACTGCATCAAATTGTACAATAAATTACCAGTTAAAATACAGCAAGTAATTATTTTGGACTTAAGAATAAAGTAAAAAAAAAAATATTAACTTCACATGCATTTTATAATATGAGTGAGAATATAGAACAGAGTTGCCCAAACTCTTTTGTGTCGTAGACCCCTTGCCATGTTTTTCCGTGTTGGGTAGACCCCCTAATTACCTGATATTGATTTCCTGTAAATTTCTAACTGTAGTGAAGTTTAGTGCTAAAAACTTAAAGTAAAAACACATGTGAATTTATACATTAATTGAATTTAAATTAAAACTACTCAAAATAAAATTTTTGTATCTGTTATGTAAAATATACGTAACATTAAATAAACAGGTGTCTGACCAATAAGTGCCCGCATTGGGAATAAGTGCCTGCATTGAAAAAAAAAAATAAGAGGGATAAAATAAAAAAAAGTGAAAAATAATAGAAAAAAAAGTTTTTTACATAAAATAGTACAATAAGCGAGTTCGTTTATTAATTATAACATAAACATATGTTCTACAATAATTTCACTGTTAGTTTGATTAAATTTCGCTTCTTATTCGTTTAAGTTATCTAAAAATAGGCAAAAAATTAACGAATTTTAGTGTGTACGTATCCTTGAATTTTCAGGATAATTAAAAAAAAAATATTTTCTATGAAGGGGGGTTCTTTAAAAAAATCAATGCGGGCACTTATTCCCAATGCGGGCATTTATAGGTCAGACACCAATAAACATAAAATAAACTATAAATAAAATAACATAAGCAATAAGTCAATATTTTTAGTGAGAAGGATGAACCTGATGCTTTAATAATAAATTATCAACATTTGGCGTCAATTTTGTAAGGGTTAATCTTAAATCTCCTCGGCTAATATGTCCAGTCTGTTTCTTTTTTTCGTTAGGAGATTGGTAACAGCGCTGAACCCCCTTTCCACTAGGTATGACGATGGAAAGGAAATTAAAAATTTCCTCGCTATAGTCCATAATACGGGATAAGTAACGGGTATGTTGTTTTGCAGCCAGAATTGCTGATATCCGTTTTTAAACTGAACCTTAAGTTCTTCGTTTGTACTTAGTTCAGTCAGTTCCTCTTGTATTATGACATTCGTTTCTTTTATGTCACCATCTGGATTAATTATCCACGGTGGTATTACCATAGTCAAAATATCCTCAAACCTAGATTCAAAATCTGAATAGAGGGCATTTAAATGTTGAACGTAAGTGGAAACGTCGTCTTCCTGACAGCTTGTCTGTGACAAATTGGGGAACTGAGAAAATTCGCCCCGTCCAATATTTTGCTTCATTAGTTTAACTCTGCCAAGAAACGCTGATAAGATGGACTTTGTTTTAATCAAATTTAAACTGTCGCCCTGTAATTGCAAATTAACCATATTAAATTTTGTAAAAAAATCTGTTAAATAGGCCATGTCTGTTTTCCTCTTCATTAAATTTTCTTTTAAAATGTTATCTTTAGTATCCAGAAATTCTAAAATAGTCTCCTAAAGTGCAAAAAATCTTGTCAAACATAAGCCTTTCAACAGCCAGCGTACTTCAGTGTGAAGGAGTAATTGATGAAAGTGTTCGTCATTTTCTTCACACAACTGCGCAAATAACCGCGTATTCAACGCGTTGTTTCGGATTCGGTTTACTGCATCAATGACTAAATGAAGTGATTCATGCAGTATAACACTCAAATTTTTAGCAACTAAATGTTGTCGATGGATGACGCAATGTATTGCTAACACCCCTGACACATTTTGTTTTAAATAGCTTATAAATCCACGATAACGTCCAACCATGGCAGGTGCTCCATCTGTAGCTACTAATATTATATTTGATAAATGAATTGATTTTTCAATGAAGTAATCCTTCAAAACATGAAATATTGATTCACCTTTAGTGCCGGTTATCAAAGTTCTTGCGAAGAGCAGTTCTTCGTAGATTTCTTGATTCATAATAAAACGAACATATGCCAATAATAATGCTGCATTATCAGTTAAAGTTGACTCGTCCAGTTGTATAGAGAAATGGGTCGTTTGCAAATAATTACATAAGAAGCTTTCAATACAGAACTCATTTCATCAATACGTCTTTCAACAGTATTGTTGCTTAAGGGAATTCTTTTAATGATATCAGATGCAGGTTTGTGTAAAACAGTTTTTAAAACCTCTTCAACGGCTGGCAAAATTAACTTCTCTTCGATAGTATGCGGTTTTCCGGATTTTGCTATAAGTAACGAGATATTGTAAGACGCCCACAAACCATCATCATTTCTTTGTGACGTCGAAGCGAAGATTCTGTCCAGTGTAGGTCTCTTCTGAAATTTATCTTTGAGTGTTTGAAAGTATTTCAAATCTTTCTCTGTTTTATCAGGGTGGCATCTTCTCAGATGATCTTGCAGTTTAGATGGTTTCATAGCGTCATTGCCCAAAACATTGTTGCATAAAAGGCACATAGGCGATTGTTTGTCCGGCAATGATGGAATGAAGCCAAATTTCAAATAATCAACACTACTGTCTACATTTCTTTTTAGATTCGGACATGGCATCAAATTAAATTATTTAAATAAGACAGAAAATCCAGCAGCTGTATATTTAAAATATTTTTTGATTTTTCCGAAAACATTCCATAATTCGAACATCTTGTTGCAACAATTAGCTCGAATTACGGAGATTGCACTGTAATTATATTACCGATTGCTAAAACTTTCAAAAATAAACTATTGAGGAGTACTCGTGTAATTTTGCATGATTGAATATTTAACTACTAATAACTAAAGTCATGATTGGCGTAATTTATCTATCTTTGCTAACTACGAGTGCAAAACTAAAATTTAATAAAAAATAATGTACTTACTTTTCTCCAGCACTCTCAAACAAAATAACACTGACTCACTGTAATTTGTGTGATATACTATCTGTTTATATTTTTTAAAATATTTTCTTAGCACTTTCCTTTTCAAGATTCAGGAAACGAATAAACGTATTTGTCCCACATTCGTATTTATAGAGTGACGAATTGAACAAGTCAGTGCATGGTAGTGAAGCTCTGAGACTGCGACTCTCAGGTTTTTACAAGTTCAAAATGTATTGCGACCACAAAGCGAATACCAACATCCTACAACTTATACAATTTTATAAACATATATAATAAATTTTGTACTTCATAGGTACTTTTATAAATAATGTATATGTTTTGATATTATAAGATAGTATGATGTAAGTAAATATGTAGGTACTATCAGTGTATGTGTTGAGATCCACTATCGTGGACTCCCATATTCATTTCATGGACCCCCAAATTTTTTTTCGCTGACGTAGACCCCTTGCAGGTTGTCATAGACCCCTAGGGGTCGATATAGACCACTTTGGGAATCAATGAGAGTACGTAAAGAAGGAACTGAAAATTTGTATGAATATCTATATTGATTTTTATTTATATTGTTATACATTTTATTTATATAATAGCTTTATAATTTAATTATTATATTTTTTCCACATGTACTATTTATTATGTATCTAAGTGGTTAATAAAGAATAAAAGAATAATGCACTGAATAAAAATATTTATTCTATAAATTATAATAACTACTATCATTAATTGATTAAACTACATGAAGATTGCCAACCAGGTACTGTATTTTGGCGCCCAAAAAATTATCCGTATGAATTATTTGCTTGCAAATCTATAAATTTACAAATGATGTTAAGAATGTGCACTCGAGTGTCAAATTAACATACTTGACTGCATTTTTTTAATTGCCACGGAAATCATTATGTTTTAAAGGCACGTAGACTCAAAATACTTCCGGCAAGAGCAAGAAGTTAAAGTAATGAACATTTCTGTACGTACTTTATGGAGTACTTTCGTTTGAAATGTATGCAAATATGAGCTGTTCAACATTATCCTGCCAAATAATTTGTCGCCAAATAAATGTCATTACCAACGTACAGGTGCAAAAGTGGGTAGCAATTAAGCGTACAGTATGCACTAACTGTGTTAAATTATAATAGTCCGAGATCTTACGCATAGATGGTATCCAAGTGATAGCTGTTGCAAGGATCAGCCATTGAAGCAGTGTGAAAGTGAGTTATCGGTAGAAAAGATATTGGTGTTTTTCGAAACTATCCTTTACATGGAGTAATGTGAAAATAAGTAAATTTTCCTAGAGATACATACACCAAAGCTTTACGATATCCAGCATGAATAGGTATGACGTACGTCAGTATCCAAATCAGGAGAAGCGTGATGTGTAGGTTAATCGGTTAATCCTGCTGTTTATTTACAAATCGCATTTGAAAAAACAGAAATTGCCATATTCTTATAGCAATAATGCAATTATAGAGCTTACAGCATTTTCAAGATGCTGCCGGTACTTCGCCAGTGTATTCATATCGTTTTTTTGGATGTATTATCGCAGATTATCTTTGTTAGTTGTGATTGTTTCTGAATATTTTTTAAACTTATTACGTAAGCAAAAACGCAATCACACGGCTGTTATACTGATATTTGCCTGAACCTCTGCAAACAGCATTTCGCTAGAATGCTCTGTGGGTCGCAGCCTCGTAGGATACTATATGGAAGTATACAATGCTTTTCAGAAAGGTCTCCCCTACTTATTTTTTGGACGGGTCAAGATACGAAGATGAAACTCGGGATAATGACATTGACGCATGAATACTATATTTTAGAATAGAAAAGCAGCTGAAATAGACATGTTGGCTTTCCGTCTCTGTAGCCGTGTCCAACTGCAAACAGCATTGATTCGTGCTCATTAGCAACTCATCAGTGCAATCCATTGGTAAGTGACGTCGTCTACTTGCGCACAATGTTTTGAGTTCTTCAAAAGACTCGTCTGTCTTCAAGACTGGTCCTAAGATCTATACCGCACTGATGCGGTCCATTTCAGTCAAGTCTATTTATGCATGTATACGTATACATAGAAGCCCACTGCTGGTTTACTATGTGAATATTGTATTTCGACCACTTGACATAAGATCATGATAGCGGTGCGGTGCATAGCGCAGAACGTTGAGCGGTTATGGGCCAAAGGGCCAATTGATTCTCTGTTATCTTCCGCGTATAGAATGAGGATGAAAATTAGCTTGGTGGCAATCGTCAGATTTTTACCCACTTGCACACATAGGCATAACAGTTGAAACCTTCACATAATGACGGCTTGGCATCATCTTGTAATAGATGGAATGGGGAGTCATGTATTTTGAAAATTCCTATTCATTTATAATCCTAGATTATATACATAATATCGTTTCAGATGGCGGACTGGCAGGCTGTCAAAGTTAAGCGTTTTTGTATATTGAATCATTTATAACTTACAAACTAATAATTAAAACGCTATAGTATGTTATATCAATTTTCTTCTTTTGGAAGGATCTATCTGAATGTGCAATAAGAATGAAATGTTCAATATTTTAACAGATTTTCGGATAGACCGTTCTAGGGAAAGAAGATAATATAACATACATAGGTACTATAGCTTTTTAATATTTGGTTGTTGAGTTATAAGCGATTTAATGTACGGGAACAAAAACGCGCAACTATGACAGAATGCCAGATCAACATTTTAAAAGAGATTTTACACTCTATAATTAAAAAATACAATGGCATTCAAAATGAGGTAGCTCATGTCTCCTCATTCCATTTCAAAAAACTTTTTGCCAACTGCCACTATTACGCGAAAGCAAAATATTCGTGAAAAAAATAAGTATGGGGCAAATATTTTCGAAAATCACTGTATATTTTCAACAAGAGGAAATATGTCTTAGCATCAAGAAAGTATTTAGATGATTTTTTGGCTTTCGTCATAGATTCCCATTGGATTAGCAAAGGGGCCGCCATTTCCGGAACAGTGTAGCAAACTTAAAGTAGGTTTATCGAAATAAGTCAGCAAAAACTTAAATCAATTATCAGAATAATTCGCAATTTGCAGTTACGTAATTAGGGCGTCGCTCTTTGTACTGCCCAAGATTATTAAAACTTGCAGATCGTAGTGAGTAATTCTCGTTGTACTGAGTTCAATTGCGCTAAAATGAGTAGCAAAGCCTGCCAGGTTCCATTGGCAGTCCTAGAACGTGTCCCAGAATAACAAAGTCTGTTGACTAATGCATGGGATCCCGGACTATTAAAGGGATAGAGATGAAAAAGACAGCTCTCTCTTAGTTCCAATTAAAGAAGAAATATTTATATGGGTGAATATACGCGTTTAATAACAGAACTTTCACAAAAATGTCGCTTGGTACGCGCGTCTTGCTATTGTAAAAAATCGGAGATGTCGCCGTACGTT